TTGCGTAATGAGGCGTCATAGCCCGTCTGGTTCCACCGTAGTTGAATTTGTTGGCGAAGGCGCATAGCCTGACTTGGTTCAACCGTAGTTGAACTTTTTGGCGAAGGCACATAGCCTGAGTCCTGGTTCAACCGTAGTTGAACTTGCTAATGAGGGCGCATAGCCCGTCTTCAACCGTAGTTGAATTTGTTGGCGAAGGCGCATAGCCTGACTTGGTTCAACCGTAGTTGAACTTTTTGGCGAAGGCACATAGCCTGAGTCCCGGTTCAACCGTAGTTGAATTTTGCTAATGAAGGCACATAGCCTGTCTTGGTTCAACCGTAGTTGAACTTTTGGTGAAGGCGCGTAGCCTGAGTCCCGGTTCAACTGTAGTTGAATTTGCTAATGAGGGCGCATAGCCCGTCTTGGTTCAACCGTAGTTGAATTTGTTGGCGAAGGCGCATAGCCTGACTTGGTTCAACCGTAGTTGAACTTTTTGGCGAAGGCGCATAGCCTGAGTCTCGGTTCAACTGTAGTTGAACTTTTTGGTGAAGGCGCATAGCCTGTCTTGATTCAACCATAGTTGAATTTTTGGTGAAGGCGCGTAGCCTGAGTTCCGGTTCAACTGCTGTTGAACTTTGTCGATCTTGATGACGAAGGCACAGAGCCTGAATCCCATATTGTGGGTATCGAGTACTGGAACTCGTTTTGGATTCGAGACCTTGAGCGGCTTACCCATTGTCTTCCCAACCAGGGTATATAGGCTGTCTTGAGGCGAATCTCGGCTCGAGATATCTCCGTGCCGGTTTCCGACCGGAGTTCGTATGCCTTACAGAGACCTCCCCTGAGGAAAGGAGGGGGCCCCTTCTTCTTGTTTGCACTATCTGAGATTGGAGAGAGAGTGAGGACTTAGATCTTTGTTTGAGATCTTCGAGCTCCCCTTCGAGTTTGGCGCTCCTTTTCTTTTGGTCGAGGGAAGAACTACGCGATTTTGCTATGAAATCCCCACAGACGGCGCCAAATTGTTTGCTCAAAAAATGTTACACATCTTACGAGTACAAAACTATATAAATTAATCCCGGGATAATCATAGCAAATCGTAATAATCCGTTGGACCAAATGAAAGAAACTAAAATAAGAACTCAGAATTAGGGGGAAAAGCATTAGAAACCTTTATTGATAATATTTGTTTGGTCTGCCTCTCCATGAAGAGGTTCAGAGCCTTACAATGGGGTTTTTCTCTTCCCATAAGAGGGGTATATTTTCTCGTTTCTCTGTCCTCTCACTAGTGGTCAAGAAGCCCCCCCTTTTCTAGGGCTACTGCTCTTAGTATTTATAGATGTGAGCTTTGTGAGCTGGCGATAAATGGCCGTGGACATGCTGAAGTTCCGTCCCCATGGGGGAATGACTGGGCCGTACCCTCGTAGATTAAATCGGACAAGAGTCGAGTCCTGTTATGAATAAGTAGCCATACCACTTCATTAATTATGTCTTAGCTCAGGACGAGATTAACTCCGTTAATTATCGTGGGGTCGGATTTTGACCCATACAAAATCCACAAAACTACAAGTTTATAATCCAATAATAGTAGCATCTCAAGTTGCATTTTGCCAGCTTGTGTAGATATTCTCTATTCACATGAGCCTCTCTCAATTTTCTTCATTAGTAGGACATAAAGAAGTATTAATTACAAATATATTCAGGATATTTCCATCTATAAATACCACTCATTTTATCATTTCCAAACACCAAGCAAACAATATTTTCACTTCATTAGCCACATTCAATAGTTGAGAGTGCTAATTAACACTGAAAAATGGCTAAGTTTGCTATATCCTCCATTGCCCTTCTCCTCACTTTGAACATTCTCTTCTTCACTATGGTTAGCTCCACTAATGTCCCATGCCCACCACCCCCACACTCCAAGCCCCACCCCAAGCCTACCCCTACCCCCTCTACCCCATCAACCCCATCATCAAAGGGTAAGTGCCCAAAGGACACACTTAAGCTAAAAGTGTGTGCTAACTTATTGAATGACTTGGTGCACCTTGTCATTGGAAGTAGCCCAGCCAAGACTGAATGTTGCTCTTTAATTCAAGGACTTGCTGATCTTGATGCTGCTGTTTGCCTTTGCACTGCCATTAAAGCCAATGTGTTGGGAATTAATCTCAATGTCCCTCTTTCCCTCAGCTTGTTGCTCAACAACTGTGGAAAGTATGCACCCAAGAACTTCCAATGCGCATAAGCCATTTAGTTTTCTTTTTCCTCCACTATTCGAAAATTTCCACTTAATTAATGTTTCCTTCAGTGTTATTGGTATTTTTTATGCTTATGGTTCTTATTGCTCAGGAGATATATTGTATCTAAAAAGTTAGAAGGAAGGCTCGTTGCCTTGTTCTCTATATGCGATGTATCCAATTTAATTTGCATTTGTAATAAATTTGACATCTACTAAGGAGTATTTTATGTGTCATTTTCAGTCACATATGCCGTCCAAATTGACTCAAAATTTTTAGATTTGTGCTAGGCCAAAATGCTCCGCTGATAAATAAAGTATATGATTAGTCCAAGTCTAGACGGGTTGCATGGACTATACTAAAGTTTCTTCTTCTTATATGCCAGTTACTATACTATGAACTTGCAAATAATATGTATTTGAGGACTTTCTACACTTGAAGGCCCAAAGTTTAATTGATGTAACTTTATTTGTATTCTAGTAAGTCTTAACCCTTGTCTGCCAATTGTGGTCAACATTTAAATCTTGATCAATTTGTGCAATCTGCTGTTAGCTGCATTGGCAATGTGATGATGGCATGTTTTATTTCGGGAATCTTAGGGGTATCTACCAATAAAAACCACTATTTACCAATAACTAGCTATTTTGGTCATGCTAACAAAAATAGCCAAAAAAAAAATGGCTGATATACAACACTAAAAAAATATAGGCAAAAAAACATTTTTTTCGTTGGATATTGTTGCGATTCGTTGAAAACACAGATGAGGTAATATACAAATTTTGAGCAAGATTTGAGGTGATTTGAACTGGTTTGGAATCAAAATTTATAGATATAATCGAGTTCAAATTTTTTTTCCTGTGACACATGTGCCAAATATATCATCTTTTTCCATGTTCATCTTCTAATTTCAAAACAAACCACCTCAAAACTCCACCATATCATTCCAAAACTGACACTCGAACTCCCTAAGATGTACCCAATCTATTCCAACAACACTCACTCAAGAGAAAGTAGAATTTTTGACCTTTTTTGACTACAAATCGCTAATTGGTTAAAATTGATAGCATTTAGCTAATATTAATAATATTTTATGAAATGACCAATCTTTGTACTTGTTTGCTTATGAACGCACATAACTGGTACTCCCTCCGTTTCATATTATTTGAGGTAGTTTGACTCGGCACGAAATTTAAGAAAAAAGAAGAAGACTTTTGAAAGTTGTGGTCTTAAAAGCTTAAGGGGTAAAAGGTTTGTAAGGCCATGCCATTTGTGTGGCTATAAAAACTTCTCATTAAGGGCAAAAAGGGTAAAATGAAGAGTTTAAAGTTGAATTATTTCCAAATTTAGAAATGTGTCATTTGTTTTGAAACAAACTAAAAATGAAAGTACCTCATTTAATATGAAACGGAGGGAGTAATTTTCAAGATGTATATTTTCAGAAATAACTCTCTAGCCCAACATGAAATTGTTTAACAAAAAGATTGGGTTGAAGATGGTTGATATAATCAAAAAATCTCAAGGCTTCAAGGCACTATACATTGGGTTATTTTTTGTGGAGTTATTTGCCTCCACACCAAGTTAATTTCATAAAATTCATCAACTAATCCTCACTAAGACTGAAATAGAAAATAAACAAAAAGCAGGTCCCGTCTAATTTGTTATTGAGAATTGCAACCATGTGAGCTTTAAGCCGATGCTTTTGTCAAATATTTATAACAGGAAGGATTACCGGGAAGGACGACGAAAAAAAAAAACAAGTTCTTACACGAGTAGCAATTTTCTGCCTATTTCTTGTCTCATAACCAGCGTTTTAACTGAAATTAAAGGAGAGGAAAAAACATAAATAGGTAATATTTAAGAAAATTGCAGAATCCTAGCCGCAATAAGTAATTAACAGAATTAGCAGCTAATTAACTACATTCCTTAAAACTTATCTAAAACAAGTCCCACTTTCGGCTCAATATTGTGCACTTAATTTTTATAATATGATAATATTATAAAATAATCTGCTATATATGGAATAAATAAAAAATAATATTATTGTCTTAAATATTTTTTAAAGATGCTCAGTCGTGTACTCGTGTATTTGTTTCTTAAAGGGAATTGAAGCCTCTAAATTAATTGGCATCTTGGGTTTTTCAATAGGAAAATTATCAGCTATGTCCATTTATAGGTAGCTCATTACAAAAATTGGCCAATTAATAAAATATTACTAATATTAGCCAAATTAGCCAATTAGCTATTTGTAGGAAAAAAACATCAAATCTTTGCTTTGTTTTGAGTGGGTGTTATCAGAATAGATTGGGCACAACTTAAGGAGCTTGAATCTCAGTTTTTGGATGATTTGGTGAAGTTTTGAGGTGGTTTGAGTTGAAAATTCGAAGTAAAAGCTGAACATGAAAAAAAATGATATGTGTATCACACTGTATATCATTTGTGTATCACATATGTATCATATTTGTATCAATTTTGTATCACATGTACATCCATGTATACCTGTGTGTGAGATACATGCGTGATACATGTTTGATACATGTGTCACAGAAGACTTTTTTGAACTCGATTTAATTATGAATTTTGATACAAGACCACTCCAAATCACCTCCAATCTTCCTCAAATTTTGTATATTGACTTATCTATATATTTTCAATGAATTTCAACTATACCCATTGAAAAAGTTCCTTTTTTGTTTAGATTTTTGGAATATTTGTATAGATTTTTGTATTTCATCACCTTATTTGCTACCCCGATCCATGAAATTTCTTTTCCGTCTTGTATCTAATGTTGCTAATCACACTTAAAAATATGGAAGGTAATTTTTGCATGTGATTCTTTGAGAGAAAGAACCCTATTATTTGGTTTTTCAATTTTTGTTGGCTAGTTTTGGTAAGTCTATGACTAATGGCTAGAGGTTGGTAAGTTGAGATTTATTTGGGACATTTGTGTAAGTTTCCCTTTTCAATAATGTTTGAGCAAATATCATTTGTAGCCCATCGGGCAAAACAAATTTCATCCAGTAGCCCACAAATTAACCCATACAAATCATAGCCTAAAAATAAAACAAGTGCTACCCGGAAACATTACTAATTCCCTCGCCGGAAATCCAGCGTCTTCTTCTGTCAAAGCAGCACTTACCCAAGTCATTACATTCCCCATTTTCTCTTCAAAATCAGGCCCATTCAAATTCTTCATCCATTTTTTTCTGGTTTCTCGTCTGGAGAATCTGGCTTCATTTTGGGATTTTTTTCTAGGATTCTTAGCTATTTTTTTCTCTGTTTCCTTAGCGTACTTTTTGTTGGTGTACTAATGACTGGTTCAATGATTGCTTTCTTGATTACAATTTTCTTTTGGTTTGTTGACATATTTGGAAATTTCACATTCGATATGTGTTCCAAAATCACAATCAGCACAGTAATACAACCAGTTATTATGATCTGTCTTTCCATGACAAAGATCACAAACAAAAATGGTGTTCTGTTATTGGTGTTATTGATTTAGCCCCTTTTAGGCTCACTGTAAGTGCTGCATTAGCCAATTCTTTAGGGTTTGTTTGGATGGAGTTTGAGTAAGGTGAAAGTGTTTCAATGCACAATTTGGTGTACAATGTCATACCACAAGAGTTCGTAATGAACTCAGAGGTATTGGTTTCTGATAATTTTTTGGCAAGGTCTCTTGTTGCTGAGCATATTAAAGTGGATGTTATTAAAATTAAGTAGAATAAGGAAATGCGAATTACATTTTCGCGCTGGTGGCTGGTTTCTCAATGAGAGGAGTACAAAGTAGATGAATATGCATAAAGTTGAAATATCTATAAAAAATACTGTTATTATACAAAAATTATACAAAATAGACTGTCACTATACACTTTATATACAAATAGACTTTCACTATACAATTTATATACAAATAGAGTGTCACTATACAAAATATATACAAAAATAGAATGTCATTATACAAAAAATATACTAAATAGACTGTCATTATACAAAATATGTACAAAATAGACTATCACTATACAAAAATATACTAAATAGACTGTCACTATATAATTTATATACAATTAGCTCTCACTATACAAAATATATACAAAATAGACTGTCACTATACAATATAGACTGTTATTATACAAAAATAGACTTTCATTATATAAAATATGTACAAAATAGACTATCACTATACTAAAATATACTAAATAGACTGTCACTATACAATTTATATACAATTAGCTCTCACTATACAAAATATATACAAAATAAACTGTCACAATACAAAATAGACTGTTACTATACAAATTATACACGATCACTATATATAAAAATATATATTTATATAACTACTATCTTGCTATTGAAAAATTATATAACATATAATATTACTTATACAAAAAATATATAAGTNGTTGGCCAATGGCTAGTTTTTAAATAAAAAAAAAACATGCGGGACGGGACGGGACGCGGGACGGGACGGGACGGGACGGGACGGGTCGCGGGACGGGATGGGCCGGCCCGTCCCGTTGGACAGCCATAGTCTATATCAACATGTATATTAAAATTTTGTTTTCATTCTTTGTATATCAATAATATAAAATTATATATATAGTTATTGCTGCCTTTATATCAAAGTATATCACAATAAAAATATTGTATTATTTGTATATCACAGTGTATAGCACATTGGACATGTGTATACCAAAATAGATATCATAAGTTTATTTTTCTTCTTTGTATATATCAAAAATTAATTTTTTTTGTATACCAAAATATTATTTACTCCCACAATTATATTTATTATTTTTATATTTTAGAACTTGCTTGAATATGCTATATCAAAAATTTATATTCCTTTTTTGGTCAATAATTAATAATTATATTATTTATATATCACAATGTATAACATAATAATAATGTGTATATCAAAAAAAATTATTAAAATTTTATTTTCCTTCTTTGTATAATACATTTTAGATTGAAAATCAAGTTCAAGACGACTCCACATATGTATCCTCTATTGTAACCCGTGTATATCTCTATGTACATCAGTGATATCTCATGTATATTATGTGGATCGGTGTATAGCCATGAAATATGGTATTATATATACGATATACAATAGTATATACATGGGCGTCCATACAAAAATTGTGTTGTATACACGATATAAAAAATGATATACACAGACGTCCTTAAAAACTTGTGTGTGATATACACTGATATACACGATATACAATGTGATATACACATGTTGC